ACAAGAGCTAATTTATAAATCAAAACATCAGTTTTAGTTCTTTTGACAACGGTCAAGCGATAAACGCAGTACCGGAAGAATTTTAGCTATTCTACGAAGTACTGAATAGACTAAAAGATGAAGAAGTCGAGAGTTAAAGTCGTTCACAGGTCCTTCTACGTGATCCCCTCTACTAAGTACTAAAGAGAGTGCAAATAAAACATGTCCTATCCAAAGTGTCTCAGACTCCTCTATAAAAGAATGAGTCTGAGATACTTTGGAGGGGGTATCTGTAGGCGTCAAAAATACATATATTTATCTAAATACAGCTCAAGACAAAGAGAAGACAATGAATGTTATTATCTACGTCATAAGGGATCATCCAAAGCTAAAAGAAGCAAAGGAATAGGTGAAGCAACATAGAAGAATAACATGAACAATGTACACTGATCACTGATGCACATTGGCGCGGCAGTCATTATTGACGCGCGTTGGCGCGGTAGTCATAACTGACGCGCGTATGTGCGACAGTCATCTCTGACGCGCGTAGGCGCGGCAGTCATCACTGACGCGCGTATACATGGGGCATTTTCTTGTGATTTGCTGACGTTTTTAGCATCTTAATGGGGTCCACGTGGCATCATAATAAAAAGAGAACGTGCACTGACATGGAAGGGTAGTTACACGTCGACAAAAGTGGTATTTCGTGGACCTAAAGTCGTGGGAGAACAGTTGCAAAAGTGGCTGAACGTGGCTGAAACTGCCTCTTCAGCCGCGCCAGCTTACACTGACGCGCTAATGGCCATGGCAGTGAAGACTGACGCGTTAATGGCTGCGGCAGTGAAAACTGACGCGCCCAAAGAGAGTGCGGTTGGTCAGTTGTTTTGCTTCCATTTCCACAGTTATAGACCCCTGTCCCTATAAATACCTCCCTACACACGAATCCAAGGGGAGAGCAGAATTAGAGCATAGAGGCTTGACCTTTTGGTAATTTTGAGCAAGAGAGAGAGAGTCTTCATCTTTTAAAAACGCTTTTAATAAGCTTTTGGTGATTCCTAGAGATCTAAGCTCAGACTTGATCTTTGGAAGAGTGAACATCTCACATCGATAAGATATTCGCTTAAGGTTCTTATTTCGATAAACGAAAAAGAATATTCAAAAGCCTTCACAGTTCAATCAGAATCTTATGAATTGGTGGTCCACGGGCTAACGCACCCCCGGCACAGGCAAAGTTCCCACAAAAGCAGGAGTTGATAAACGATTTCTATGTTATTTTCTAGAAAGTTGTAATTTTCTTCTTATTGTGTAAGAGAGGTCTTATAAAAAGGCTATCTTCTTTTGAATTCATTGTAAACAATCAAAAATATAATGAATTCCACAATGAGACCAACTTTCGACGAAAATAGTTATCTGCACTACCGTCAGTTTGTGTTACCGACTCTACAGAGTGGATGTTGGATTCGGGTGCTTCTTACCACATTTACCCTAGGAGGGATTGGTTTTCATGTTGGATTCGGGTGCTTCTTACCACATTTACCCTAGGAGGGATTGGTTTTCCAGCTTTCAGGAGTTGGAAAGAGGGGATGTTATGCTCATGGATAATGATCATGAATGCCCTATTGGTGGTATCTGGACCGTTCAGATTAGGATGAGTGACGGAGTAATTCTGGAGTTGGTTGGAGTGAGGTTCATTTCTCTGTTAAAGAAGAACGTCATTTCACTTAGACCTTTGGAAGCAGCAGGCTATAGGGTGACCTTGATGGATGCACGTTTGAAGGTCACATTAGGGTTCATGATTGTGATGAAGGGCGTCAGGAGAGGAATAATTTGTATTATTTGATTAGGAGCACGGTATTTGATAGAGAGCTGACGACTTCTTTGGATTTAGCTAGACTGTGGCATTTGTTGAGGCTGGGACATTTGATTGGTTATGTCGTGTAAAGTTTTTTTATGAGTGTTTTGACCTGCAGATTGAAGTCCTTTGAGCACATTGGTATGAGCAAGAAGACCGGGTGTTTTAGGTGGTGTTCATTCAGGCATTTTGGGGCCTTCCAAGGAGGCATCATTGGGAGGTAATCGGTATTTAGTTTTCGCAGTTGGAGATTATTCTAGGCATTGGTGGGTTGCAACCAGGTCCCGTTGGTGTAAAGTCCTAGAAGTCAACAACAATTAGAAGAAGTGTATTGACAGAAAGGTAACCCGTCGTTCAAGCTTTGGTAGGGGTTCTTTCTTGCATTTGTGCCGAGCTCATTGCAGTTTAAGACACTTCATTGGTGTGGAGACATTGGGACGACGAGATGAGATGACAGTCATGATGGGTCATTCCTTACTGGAGGGGGATCGACGTTGGTTATCGAGTATTGGTTTTGGTTTTGAAGCTTCGACATATTTGGGCCATCTTAGTCATAGGTTTTGACTGTCGTGTTTGGTGATTTTGGATCTGGTGGAGCTGCTTCAGGTTTTGATTGGCGTCAGATATTTGGCTGCCCAGCATTTGGTCACATCGAGGATGTGAGATTTAATCCGATTGCACATTTGGGATTCAGATGCTCATTTGATTATCAGTTGGGAGCTTCTGATTTTGTTCTGAGCAGGTACGTCACTTTTGACTCTCGACAGGTGAAGAGTGTTGATCAGATCATTGGGATATCACAGCGGGTTGAGAGTGATGCTACTTCACATTGGGTGGAGATTACTCCATATGCTTCAGATCATACTGCATCGTTTGGGATTCCAGCTGAGGTGACACAGTTTGGGGATCATTTGGATTTGGATGCAGATAATGAGTTGGTTTTGGATTCGAGTGCAGCTGGTGGACATGTTTTGGATACAACCATTAGTTCACCTCAGGTGGAGGTTTTTGATTTGTTTCAGTTTGGGACCATTGGGAGCGCTATCAGTTGCAGAACCGTTGGTGATATTGGTGAAGAGTTACAAACTTTTCTATTTGATTGAGGGCCTTTGGAGGCCGTTTGGGTGAACTACGTGAAGGCTTAATTCCTTGGGCAAGAGGATATGTAGGCAGTCATTTTATGATGCAGCCGATTTGGTGAGTAGATACCAACGTTTGGAGAGTGGTCGCATTCTCATTTGGGTCTCGACTTGTTATGGATTGAGTCCGTTGTCGTGATTTTGTTTCAATTCGTACTGGACGCAATAAGTGGGGCATTTGGTTTGGTTGGTGTCGGCTCAGTTTTGGGAAAACTTCACCGAGGTGGAGAATTGTAGAATTGAAGAAACGGTGAACGGATTTGGATCAGAACAGGTTTTAGACGCAGGAACGCTTTTGGGTGCTACACGGTCAACCGCGAGTGGCGCTACGGTCGACCACGGACGTGCACACACACAGGAAAGTCTCTGGACTTTTGGCAGTCGACCGCGGGACCCTGTAATGGATTAGTTGGTTTCTGTCTTCTGTCTGGTCGACCGCGATGGGTTCGGCGGTCGACCGCTCGGGTTTGGACTGTTTTTTGGTTTACTGTTTTGTTTGGGATTTGTGTTTGATATAAATACTAACATACATTTTAGGATTTCTTAAGGCTTGTTGTGGGGATATTTGGAGCACATAAAAGAGGTATTTTCTGAGCTATTTGTTTAGGGTTTTATTTGGAGAGATTAAGAGCCTTGTGGTGAGATTAATTGGTTCCTTCGAGTGATTTGTAATCCCAGTTTGTACTCTTTTTCTTTATTAGTGAAAACCACATCCCCTTCTTGCCTTGTGGACGTAGGCAACTTGTCGAACCACGTTAAAATCGTTTGTTTGTGTTTGTGGCATTGATTTGGTTGTCTTGGCCTTTATCTCGACATTTGTTTGTTTTGGTTCTCGAAACAGGTTGGTTTGGTTGTTTGGCTTCTGCAGCGCACAACAGTAGCCGCATCAGAATGATCGATAGAGCGGAAATCTTGTTTGAGGAGATGGAGAGGGTTTATGGAGTCAGGCCGAGAGCTAAAGCTCTACAGGTGCATGGCAGATTTTGCACGCGCATGCTGGAGTTAGCAATGAGGAGATGGAGGGTGTAGAATACATGGAAACGTCGGGGCTGCAGGAATTGCGATTGTTGGAGATCGACTGAGAAGATCGACGGCAAAGATTAATGATCTAACCGAGGAGCATGCAATCAGCTAGAATAATGATCTAACCGGGGAGCTATTCTAAGAGACGGCAAGAAAATAATTTACGAGGAGAGGATCTGGGAGGTCAGAGAGCTGCAACCTAGGGTTTCTATTGAGATTCTTTGGAGGCGATGGTGATCGTTAGTTTTCTTGCATCGGCTTTTGCTCCTGCCGTTAACAGTGCGTTTGGGAGTTAACTGCAGAAAGAGAGGGGTTTTCTTGAAAAACATTGAAATTGCTGGCCTCCAATTCTTAAGTCACTTTGAAATTAGACCGTCAATTCAGTTGAATTACTATTAGGTCTCTCAATTCTTAAGCAAATAGAGGAATTAATTGAAAATAGCTGATAAAAATCGGGGACACAGTAGCAGTTTCAATGATCGTGATGGTCTAATTTCAAAATCGTTGTTTAATCGGATGACCAAATGACAATTTGCAACGAATCGTGATGGTCTTACTTAAGATTGTGGGGGGGGGGGGGGGGCACAACAGTAATTTCGATGATACAAGGGTCTAGTTTCAAAATCTCTACTAATTGGAGGACCTAATAGCAATTTCAATGATTTGAGGTACTAATCCAAATATATATATACAAGATTTAAGGAACTAAAATCCAAACAACCCCTTCTTCCTTTTCAATAGTGGAATCACTAATAATGTTAGGAGCAAGCAAAGGAAACAAAGAGAGAAGATTAGTGACCAACAAATATGAAGGATTGAATAAAGAGAGAGAATCAAAAAAGAGCATGCCCACATCAAGAGCCCATATATTTTATACATGGCGAGCTCCTGGCAAGGTTTAACTTTCTCTACCCTGCCCCTTCTCTTTCCCCCCTCCATTTTCTCTCTCTCACTCCTCCATTATCAAACCAACTCAGATATTCTTTTACCGATACAAGCAACACAGATACCTCTTGCAAAAATATACATCACTCTAAAAGTATCGTCACAATCGATGTTTTTTTTCTCTAATCATAATGAACATCAGTCATCTTTACATCATGTCTTTTTTTCTCTAATCATAATGAACATCAGTCATCTTTACACCAAAGACATGATTGATAAATGAGCTCGGCGACACCGCCTTCAGCAGCCTGTACCAAGGGGTGATCAATTGCCAGAGTCCAATTCATCTCCACTGTCTACAGAATCGTCTGCAAAATCTAAATGATCCCAGCTTAAACAACAACAATAACACGTTTCATCTTTTTTTCGAATTCAGTTTCCTAGGTCTTGATAACTTGTTCTTGGTTGCAGCCTGCAATGTTGTCTTATGCCATCGAGCAGCAGAAAATTGGGCATCTGGCAGTATATCTCTGAAGATTTGATGCTAGCTGTATTTCTTGATATGGTGTTTGCTTTGTACAGTTTGTAATCAGAGGATTTTAAACCCACAGCAGCATCTATCATCAATCGAATAACTTAAAGACTGCTCATCATTTATTTGCTGAGTTCAAATGTTGATAATAGACAACAGAGACAAGATGGGATTATTTACAAGGTATCAATCAAGAAAATATCGGGCAACGTCTCTCAATGAAATTACGCCTTCCACCCGTCTACTATGGCAATCGATGACGACAACCCGTCTAACATCTGGAGTGAAATGGATATTTCATCAACGTTCGTACAGTGTGATGAGATGTTTTTAAGAAAGGGAAAATTACAGAAAATGGCCCTGAGGTTCCTAGAAATGACAGTAAATGGCCCCAAAGTTTTAAAACTAACACTGTCACCCCTTCCTTCGATATTTCCATCAAACAAAGTCATATATGGATCACGTGATACATTTAGTGACAATAATACCCTGGAAGACAATAAGCATTCTTCTCTCTTCTCTCAAGAGTTGAGAGGCATTTTTGTCTTTAGCGGTGCCACATGATACCCATTTGGCTGTTTGATGGAAAACCAAAAGGAAAGTGGTGAAAATGGTATGTTTTAAAACTGCAGGATTTACTGTCACTTCTACAAGCCTCTTTGTGTGTGTGTGTGTGTGTGTCTCTGTTTTTTTTTTTTTTTTTTGGGGGGGGGGGGGTGCTTTCTATAATTTCCCTCAAGAAAACATGAGATCACAAAGAGAGAGATACCTGGATCAGAAAGCTGCTGGATAATCTCAAAAAAACGAGTTGATTGGAAGCATGTAGGACATCGTCTCCGGCTATTGTTCTGAGGATTTGCCTGGTATGCTAGATCTAAAGCCTGAAAGAAAAATTAGATGTGAAAGTATGTTCAGCTCACAGGAGCAAAGAGATTGCAGAAAGA